AGTGATGGCTGATGAGAATTTATTCAATTTTTGTGTTTTCTACTCCTCGCTATTGCAGACAACACTAAAATGCCAAAGCTTTTCAATTGGTTTTTCTCATATGTGCCCAAACATGTAAAATTTGACCGGTAACTCTGCGTTTTATGGGTTATATACAATATATACAAATATATTAACGCTATTATTTTTTAGAGTATTTGTTTTTTTTTTTTTTTTAATGGTTTAGAATGTTTGATTTAAAAAAAAAAAAAAAAATGTATTTGGATTGTTTTAAACAAGGAAATTGAATTAGTTTTTTTTTTTCTCGCTGTACATATTTGAGTGTGGGATTTGAACTTCAATAAATAAAGTTGACGTTATTGATTTTTTAAATCCATGGTATGAGGCATTTGTATATTTTTGTGGTCTCGCGTATAAGACTTGGATGAGCAAAGAATTGACATGAAATACTGAGATGAATTTTGATCTGTATTTTTCACACGCTTGCTTGAACCGTTGTGGCAGCTCAATAAATACATTAGCATATACCTTTTTAGAGAGATATTTATTATGTATCACGGTATCATGTATTGCGGCCTGAATGGACAAATAAATAGAAATTGATCTGGAGTCTTGCGTTCATTAAAATGACAGAGACATAAATTGCGAATGCTTCTCTTTCAGTTATCATAATTTATCCTCGGCCCCCGCACAAATATAAACTACAATAAAATGCACTTAAGTACTTTAATTACTTACAGAATGGACTCTGTTCGTGTACTAGGGGAAAGATTTAATATCCCCATATATACAAAAAGTAAGCGTTTTAAAAAACTTGTGTAGAGTGTATGCTACCATCGGTGCAAAATACAAAAGATGTCGACACTGCTTTCACAATCAAGTAAAGAATCCGTAGGTACTCGGTAGGTCTCGTAAAACCCCTTTTGTTCTTGTAAAACAATGGGGAAATCTGATATTCGTGTGTAGCTTACGTGTAGCAATAGGTTGTAAATTAATGGTAGAAATGAAATGTTGACAGGTTCTGCTATTCAAGAATCACACCTACGAACTTTTGAAGTCATCATACATTACATGATGGTGTTCAAGAATATTGATTCGGATTTTCTCTTATACTTTGTATTAACAAAAAGGTTTGCTTCCATTCATTAAGCTATAAAGCAAATACGAAAAACAAAACCAATAAGCTGTTGGAGACAATTCAATGAACGCTATTACAAAATACTCGAACATCGTCTCTCTTGCTCTCTCTCTCTCTCTGTTTGGGATAGTTTCCCGATTTCATTTTCTTGTTTTCTTCATTATTTTAATGCCATTATTAATTAATAATAATTCGGTACGCAAGGCAAGACAAAAAATGTATGCAGTTCTGTGCTAGAATATGGCCAACAAATTAAAAGAGCTTACCATACTGTGATGGGATAACGTCAGGATCACGTTCATCTTCGACTAAGTCTTCTGATGACTTTGATTTAATATCAGTATGTTGCCATCTTGGTTTTTCAATACCAACACCACCCTAATGATTGCAAATTCAAAAAATAGACAAAAATTGCAAAAAGGAGAGGAAAGGAAGAAAATATTAACGTAGCAATTAGATGATGTGGCAAATCTAACCTTGTAAACATCACCAGTTTGTGTCACTACTGCTGTAGCGGTTGCTTTGGTGCCATGTTGACGATTGCGTCGCAAATTGTGTAAAAATGTCATCATGAATATCTTTAGAGCGACGGCCAAACTAATAATTACAATTGTTAAAACACTCCCGACAATGACAGGGGATAATGTCAATGAAACGTCATCGTCTGCTTTACATTTGTAATGAGAGCGAATGAATGATATGATTATCACCACCATCACCGCCACCGCCGTCATTACCAATGCCAGCGCCAGCACCGACATGTCACCGACATCAACATGCAAATAGCCGTAGTAGTAGTAGTAGTAGTAGTAGTAGTAGTAGTAGTAGTTTGACATGATGTGGTTTTATTGTTGAAATATAATTTGTTTTTTTGTTGTTGTTGTTGTTGTTGTTTTTTTGTATGCAAGTATTAGTTTCCCATACATTATTGCACGTAGAGATTCATGCATATAGGTGTGGACATCACAATCAATGAAAACCATCATAAATCATCAAGGTATCTCAACGTTTACATATCAACGTGATTTTTCATTATTGTCGTTGTTGTTGTTGTTGTTGTTGTTGTTAGGCGAGAATTTTAATCCATTTTGTTGCAACAAAGAAAAAAGGTTTCGGAAATATAGACAATCCCAACACACACACACGCAGATAGTTTTGACGTTAGCCAGCCACACATTGCCAAAAGATCCAGCAGAGCGAATATTATTTTGAACGCAGCAACGTTGACATAAACATGTTTAGAGCAGCAATAAAAAAGAAAATAATTACAAACAAATGACAGCGTAATTCAATATCAACGACAAAATTGAATGAAGACAAAGATTCATTGCAAAGAAAAGCACTTCAAAATAACAATTATTAATAAATTACTTTTCAAACTAGTATCATACTGCTGATTACGATGATAAAAACCGCTACGTAAAAGCATGGATGTCCTCTGAACTAGTTTTTTTTCATAAAAGTTTACTTTAAAGTTCACTTTTAAGTTTAATGAAAACAGTTAAGGGGAACAAAAGTTGTTCCGTCGTCTGGGAATCACTTGTGAACATTTTAGAACGTAACTAACAACATTATAACCGAGCAGGGTCGGCTATTAAATGTTTTGCAACACTCTGACCCAATATAATGTTTTTCTGCTTCTTTAGATTTTAATTTACTCTCGCAGTGGGGAAAAAAAAATCTTTTCTCGAACAAAGGCATTACTTTTCATGAAAGCTTTTCTATGAGGAGGGGTATAAAGTATATCAAGATGTTATTATCCTTTACCTATTTTCGCTATAATGGACTAAAAACAACTAACAGCCGTATAGTCTATTAAATACTCCACATCACAGTTATCCATTCACTTCGCGGAATGATATATTATTATCAGGTACAGGCGTACTTTTATAAAAAGCACCTATAATAGAGGATGACCAAAACGTGAACTAATGTGATCCAAATTCACCAAAGCAACTTTACCTGTTAAAGATTTGTTTTTCACTTGTTTCCCACATAAACTAAAAATTGCATATAATGGCTTGCTTCTCATAAGAACCCCTAGCAATCTTCCTGAGTCTAAAATATTGAAACTTGTTTACGGTACGAAAATTTCAGATTTCGTAAGCTCAAAAATATACCCAGTTCTCCTACACTCTTCGCACTTCAATTTACGATGCCGAAGTGCCAGTATTGAGTGATTTTTCCCAAGGATTTTCAAAGATTCATATTTCTTTCTTCATATAACGAATTTTTAAACTAAACCATTATTATTAATATAGTCTAGCCGAACAAGTGCACCGATCTGTTTTGCTTTCAAAAGAATTCTTCGTTAAACCAAAGCACGTCCGTTCACCGAGATACTACAAAGCGTCTGAAAAATTGGGACGTGTTGGTTAAATACGAAATTAAGTGGACATGGATCACAACAACAGCCGGCCATCTCTATGCAAAGACCATCTACGAAAAATTGGAAAATTCTGATAAGTTTAGTTGAGTAGATTCATTGCCATCCACTCTAAGGTTGATTCCTTGGTTATTTAAACCAGAGCATCATAAGCATCATAAGCATCTTTCTTCCACCATATCTAACCACTTGTGTATTATATTTTTGTTTAAAATTTTTATGCAAAAAAAAATTCACTAAATATTTGATATAAAAAAAGCACATTTCTTTGCAGGTATGTCACCTCATCAAATTCAGAAAGACAACGTCAATATAGTCAAATGTACCACAAACTTATCCATTAACTGTTGCCAATATGTATATTGAAACATTGAAAATCAATTTTATTTACCTAATGGCTTACTTTTCACCAAAATGTCGTTTTAATGGCAACACTTTCTTTATGTGAATTGATAATACAACAAAGTGACAGCCGAAAATGTCTGAAGGAGGAATGATGAATGGTGCGGGGCTGAGGGGATGAGGGCAATAGAAAACTTTTCATATTTGCTTAACATTTGCAAAGTAGGAGAGGGAAAAATCAAGTTCACACCGAATCGAATGACAGAGATAGACAGCAGAAAGTGTTTGTTTAATCTATCTTGAGTGATTACTTCAATCATACCTACTACTGCTGCCAATGCGTATGCTAATGCAAATAAACTTAGCAAAAGAAACAGCAAAAAAAAAAAAAAAAAGTTGCGAATGCAAAGCTTAGATTGCTTACAAAGGAAAACACTTTAAAATGTCTTCACTTTTACTTGTACAAGTGCGGATTTTCATTTCATCGATAAATATTTCCGAAACTTACCCGTACGAAATGCCGTCGAACCAATACTAAAATCAGGCAGTGAGTAAGATGCACTACGTCCTTTTTGATTAAATGCATAAATTCGCAATTTTAATGAATTATTTTCTTGCGTCATTATTGAAGTTAATGTATCTAAATTTTCCAAAGAGAATTGAGGCTCCTCAGTGTTCGTTATATTAAATCTATTGAAAAGAAAACAAAAAATATTAAACATTTATGTAAAAGAAATATTCGTTTTTTTTTTTTTTTTTTTAATTTTCCTTTTCTAAATCGTAAAGTAACGGTTTTTTTCTATGTTAATAACTATAAGAGTTGAAATATTTTAATATTTGATATGAAAATTTTTGCATCTGTATTATTACTTATGCATGTAAACCCGGATCACATACACAATTTGGTATTCACCACTTCGTCTCTTCGTTCAAACCCCTTAACTTACGTTAGGTCAAAGTGCGGCTGCTAACCAGGATTTTTTGGCAAAGCATAGCAGCATATCAAGCACATCTCCATGTTTTTGCGTACTCGATACACATACTTGATTGCGGTATTTCTCAAAGAAAAGCGTCATTACTTTTAATGGAATTGCTTTCTTGTTTAAAGCAAATTTATGTTACATTCCTTAACCCAAGCGCAATATTTCGCAATAAAATTTTTTTTATTATCATTTCATTTTGATTACGGTCTGTCGAGGTATATTTTTGTGTTATTAAGAAATTTTTTCTTCATTTCTTTAAAAAAGCAATAACTTTATGGTATCGTCTCCTTTCAAGAAACAGATATCATCATCCACGGCCAATGGTATATAAATATTTCTTTAGAAATTCAAATTTCACTGCACAACATTCACGTTCTCCTTTATTTATTTGATGAATAATAAAAAACGCTGTACCTTCGTCATCAACAACAAAAAATTTTAGGTAAATGAAATGACACTTTGAAATGAACCGGAATGACATCGTCGAAGAAGAGCGAATAAGTTCCATAACAAAAAAAATTTAATCACTTTACCGTGAAAATTACACAATTGTTAAAATCAGCCGTAATGTCTTCAAGTTGTTTTCCCTTCGCTTAAACATAACTTGCTAAATATAAAAAGAAATTAGACAAGTTTAATTTGAACAGATTCATCACCATCAGCGACCATTATTTCTTACATTGGTAACAATGAATTTCTGCGTTCGGGCGGCATCGCATAAAATTTTTCCGATTGCTCTAACTACCAAAATAACCAGTAAAGTTATGTCTATACCTTCTTTGAATGTTTAGTTAGTTTGTGTTAGTTTACTAAGTCTAGAATTTCTAGTGCGTCTCTTGGGCACATGGAAATCAATTTAACCCAGTGGAGGTGAAAAGCTCATACAGCTAATTATCATTGTGAAGTAGCCGCTAGGAAATTGCACTTTCTTTGCATCTGTTCATATGAGGTCAGACTTATTCTAATCTAAACTTCGTATAGCACTTACCAACGACTACCTTTGAACAAATTCTAATGAATCGATGTTAGGCTTTCAATTCGGTAATTATTGGTGCCCACAAGCTGGTAACACTATCTTTTGGAAAACTAAAATGTATTGCATTACGTGGAAAGCGTGCAACTTAAGTCTAAAAGAACTGGTTGCCTCTGTGCTGGTTGCCTCGTAAGCATAGTACATTTTTGATTTTCAAGGGCGTATCATTAAGACCTCAGCTGCGAAATTCTATAAAAGCCAAGAGTGTTGATAAAACTTTATTGCCGTTTTCGGCATTTCGCAAAGCGCGTAATGCAAGGCGTACGCTTCGTTTTTCTTAGGATGAACCATGATTTTTCAAAGCGGCCATTAAAGCAGCCTCAACAATTTTTTGCTTTTTCTTTCTTACTCAAACTTTGGACAATACTTTTAAAACAGCATCCTGACGACAGTGACGTCAACATCCTCAATTGCTCGATTTGTACACTTTCTGTTTTTTTTTGTACACAATCATTAATGCAAAATCGTGTTGGCTTACTCCATATTCTTCTTAGCCTAAAAAATTATAATAATTTGAAAATCTGCGGACGACTTGGCAAACTTCGGCATTGGTAAGTGAGAGAAATGGAAAAAACCCAGTCATCATACGGTGCTCGACAGTACATTAGATAGCGAGAAGTGCTGAGGGCAATCAACATTAACTGGATGCCATGCTTTAAGGCTCGAGCTAAGCATAACACTAAACTAATCTAGTCGGACCCGCGCTTAAACTCATCCCTAATTTAGCTAAAACTACGACTTCCGCGAAACATTTAATTGATCATTTATTGGCCTCGCTTTTTGTACTCAACACTAAAGAGTTTAAAGACTTGTTTCGGAATATTTCAAAAGCTTGAAACACTAGAATTAGACAATGTCAACAGTCATAGAGTCGACGTATCAGGTATTTACATAAGCAAAGCATACTTATAGAGAATTTTTAATATATGCCGCGAATGCATACGAATGAAACGTGCCTTAAATTTTTAATTTCGCTCGGCTTCTTGGTTCTCCTTTTTTTACAATGTTTGCTGCTTATGCTAAATATGCGTAAAAACTTAAATCAAAGTGACGCAACTGCCGATATATGAATGAATGCGTCACTTGCCAGATCGATTAGTTACACGCATGAAGGGAAAAGTAGAGAAAAAGGTAGATAAAATTGTTTACCAACATTTTTTATTTATGTTCAACTTTTAATTGCATTATTAAGAAAAGTTTTAATTAAATTTTTATGGCGATTTACATTAGAATATGAATTGGTTTCTGAAATTTATTGTTCAATAGGTGAAAAAATTTCCAATAAACATTGAGAGTGTATTAATGCTTGTGATTAGGTGAAACTTGTTTCCAATATGTACAATATTGGAAACAATACGATATTTAAACTGGGAACAAAGTTCAGAAGGTAGAGTTAATCGATGTGGCAAATGAAGCAATCATTCCTATATAAGTGCGTTTGTGTACTTGCTATTGTTATCTCTTCATTAGAGTGGTTATTTACCTGGTGATGCCAGAGCGGGTTGAAAACATTTCTAAAACAAATATTTGCGGTAGACCGCCATCATAGCCAGGTATGCATTGTATATCAACACTTAACTCCGTACGATTGAAGATTGTGCAATTACTAACGGCATTTGGTAAAGCTATACGCATACATGTAGGCGCACAAATGCAAGAAAACGTATAATGCGAAATAATGACGAGGCACAGGCATGCGGAGAGTCCAGGTTGCAATAGATGAGATTCCAAAGCAAACATTTTAAGGCATCCACACACAACAAGCCACGCCACGCCACGCCACAGCATAAGCATCATTCCAGTAATTATAGTTTCATGTCAAACGTTAAAGCACGTAACGCATATTTCGTTATATCGTCACAGTTTCATAAGATTCAACGCAGAGCAATGAAGCGAAAAAGACAAAAATAGGGAACAGAAAAAAGAAAAAGAAAAAAAAAGAAGAGACAAAACATTTTATATGTACATATATGCAGCAAAAGAAAGGAAAGAACAGAAGTAAATAGAATGAAATATTTAGTTGATTAAACAAACAAGTGTTGCTGACAAATGTCTTTAATAAGTGTATTGACTTTTCGATGTTCGAGTACAACGACGTTCAAACATGCTTAAAATCCCAAAAGGCTTTTCAACGTCATTCAACGTATAACAATGATTTCCCACAGATACCGTATATATATATATATATACATATATATATATATATATATATATACGCAAACATACACATTAACGTTGAAGTTATAAATTCTCGTTTATTGACATTTACCTGCTAGAACTACTTGAAAGAGACACGGTTGATTTTGCGTTCCCACTTCATTTGACGCCCAACATGATAACGTGCCATAGTCCTGCGTGTAAGTAAAATATAATTGAAATTTTCATTTGTTTTGCACTTTTGCCATTTTACACTGACAACTTACTTGATCTGTTACCGGCGTATATTTCAAAATACTACGACTACCATTTACACTAAAACGTTCGCTGCCCACATCTAAGGTTTCACCAGAGTTATTGAACTTCCAACGAAATGTTCTTTAAGTAAATATTAAATAAAATTCGGAAGTATTAGAAAAGAACACGAAATAAAATTAAAAGAAAATACTTCAACATAACAACAGCATAAACACACTCACATGTAATATGTGTAGCAATATAAATAAAACACTTGAATAAGTTTACACAGTCGAAGTGCATGTATATGAAGGAAAGAAAACTGTAATGTGCTACCTTCGGTTCGGTAAATATACCACAAATTTTCAAGTATTCATTACACATTGCCGAAAAAGCTAGCATGTCTGACGTGTGTTAACATTTAAAGAGTCCTTTCCATACCATTTTACAAATAATTTCATGTAATCTTTAATTTGCTGCCTATTAAAAAAAAAAAAAGAAAAAGCGCTTAACTTATTATTTATAGAGCGTTGGCGTCCTAGGAGTCTCATCAAAAATGCCGATTACTCGACAATCAGAGTTATTCTAATTTTAAGAGCGCTACGGAGGGTAAGTAATAATAATCAACCGACCAATTTGTCTTGTAGTTATTATGGTAAACATAATTTAAAAATGAAAGAATGGTTTTTTTTTCGCTTTTTTTGATGATAGACGGTATCGGTCAGAAACAAACGATGCAAGGGAAGGACATAGGTAGATTAGCACTCGTATCGTAGTATGCGTATGGAGCCAATCATTAAGTGTTATGCCTTAACCGATTAACTGCAAACTTTTAGAATATGTTGCCTGTAACTTACGTTGTATTAGTTACGGTAAAGCGATTTTCATTAAATTGAAAGGAATGTTAATAAATAGTAGAAACTTGAGATTAGAGAGGAACATTTTTAATGAACAGGCTATTGTGCTGCTGTCAAAGGATGTGAACAATCACACAAATCAGGTAGCCCTAGGCGGGCGCGAAGTATGTGCCGGAACAAAGATTTTAATGCTTTTGTGTGTTCTCGTTATTGTTACGCAGGATGAAAAAACCGCGATGCAAAAAAGGCAGTTTTACACATCATAAAATTCGCAATACACAATCATGGGTAAAAGTCTCATTAGAGCAGTTATTAGTTACATAACAGAATGTTCTACTAACGTCTTTTCTGTTTATATTAGGAATTGGCTGGTCGTCGTCCGAACACTTTTTTGACGGTTTGAATCGGAGATAGGGAAATATGTTGGGAAATATTAATGTTTTCGATTTTTTTAAGTTTTTTTTTATTTACGAAAACGTACGTATTTGAAAAGCAAGCGAAACACTATAGTGGGCCACGGCCGATTAAATACCCCACACCATCCTACAATTATTCATAGAATGTCTTTTCAAAATAAAGCGTGATATGGAGAGTAATCGATTCAATCCATTTTTGATAGTGTTCGTGCTTAGTGCAAAGCAGCTCAGTGTACTATAATTCTAAAAAATTGTTGGCTGCAGGGTCAGCACACCAAACAGAAACAGACGAATCAGAAAGTTATTCTGGTTCGATTGTTGTAATAAAAGGCGAATTCATCTCATCCGCTTCTGGATATTGCATGCTCTGCAGAATCTTAATCTACCCTTGCACAACGCCTAGTGCAAAGTATAATTGTATTTTCTAAAGGTTTCTTAACACCACGACTGCCACGTAAGCCAATTTTTTTATATGAAAAATATTTAAATACAAAATATTTAAATCAGTTTTTCTTTATCTGGCGTAGTTTTCAAGACAAATGTATTTGACATATGCCTACTTTTACTCCATTTTCACCAAATGAACCAATTTGAGTTTTGCGAAATCTCCACAATTGCAAAAATGAAGACGAGAAACTGAAATTCAAATGCGCTTACGAAACTTTACGATATTCACGAATTCAGGAATCTGTTGTAAAATTCTCCATAGACTTTCAATAATTTCTGCTTCTTGATGGAAATGATGCCCATATTTGAATCTGTCACTGAGAACGTAATGACTTACAATCGAAACAGAAATGGCTCTCCGTACCGTTGGAGACTTGCGACGATGTTTCGAGCTCCTTTATATATAACATATATATACATATACGAATATTTTTAAAAACCCCTCCTAAAAGAGTACGTTTCCCTATTAAATGTACGGAAATTTTTGCTTATCCGTTTCTAATCTTTATAAAATAAATGTAAAATGAAGTTAAGTTGAATATTTGCATTTCACATTGAAAGGACTTGAAAACTCAATTAAAATTCTCTCTTTCTGCTTGCTTCATCTTGAAGGAATAAAAGATATATTTCCCTTTTTTAATTCAACATTTCTTCCAAAAAATCTTGCGTTATTATTTCAACCGCACATAAACTTAGGTTCGTTTTACACCTTCCTACACATCCTCCTCTTGTTAGATGCGCTTCCTTGACTTGGAAATCTTACACAACATTAATCAAAAGTTTCCTTCAACAGGAAATGAAACGAGCATTCACAACCGCACAGTTAACCTTAGCTACAAGCATACGCTACATTTATAATGCTCCCTCGGTCTAAATCAGTCGCTACAAATTCTGCATACAGCCTCCTTTTTCCCTTTCTTTTGCATATTATTAACTGCTCATTTCTCAGGTGAACTATTACAGTTTTCATATGTCATACGGTAAGTTTGTTAAATTATTTGCTTATACCTCGATAGGAAAATGTATGTGTTGTACTTGCTAACAATTTGTTTTATACATCTTGTGCATGGTACATATAATATAAATGAGACATACCTGGGTGGTGGATCCGCTTGAATTTCACACGCAACTTCGACAGTTTCATCCTTTGAGGCACCAATTAAGATGACACGATCTAAATGTTTGCAAATTGGTGTGTCTGGAAAAAAAAGGTAGAAAAAACAAATACAATAATAAGTATTAAGCATTTGCAAATACGTAATATTTCTAATTCGATAAGGACTATTTCTTGTTCTTAATGTGCCTTAAATTACAATGATAATGGAGTTTGAGTTCGTATTTGAAATGAAATCCATCTTAGCTAATAGGACTCAGTTCTCTTGGGCGAGAAGAAGAGTTCTATTTATGGAAATTTATAAAAACGCTACAACTTGCATCATCTACTGTAGCTTAGCTCGTTCGCCATTAACCGTCAGATATGTGTGACACAGCTGTTTCTTACCACAGTCCGACATCACATAAATATGTCAATTTAAAAGAACGTTTATTTTATTTCAGCAGAATGCTTTGAATATACGTACAGGGAATTTATTCCAACTGATGTCGTATAAGCACGAGAAGAATCTTGGGCTGTGACGGATATGATAGTTCGCCAGAAGACGCCTGGTAACATATGGCTTAGCTTAGTTACTTGGCTGATGCAATTATTGAAAAGCAAGATAATGGGAATTTGATATTAATGCTAATAATTAATGCATAAACGGATAAAATGGCCTTACAATTCTTTTACCGGCTTCCTCTCATCATCAATATTTCTGAAAGTCGAAAAAACGATTATTATGTGATTGTATGTTGTTCTAGGTGGAGATGTTTTGCTTATACTCCCATCTATGGAAATAGGTTGGTATTGAAAATAGTGTAAAGCGATTAAAACGCCTAACGCCTACCGTGCAAAATAAATTGAATACATCTCCGTTTTTTAGAACGAGAAAAATATGTTTTTCTGTTCATTGCTAACAATTTCAATGGATACATATCTAAAAGTATTCAGTTACATTCTAGGGATTATACAGCTGTGCCTAACAAAAATTAAAAAGAATTGTTACGCCTTCCCAATTTAATAGAATGTGGAAATTACATTTTTTCCTAGTCTTTAATAGGAGGACGATGTCGGTGTATAGGATTCGGTTAAACCCGAATGAAATTTTCTGGCTTTTTTTTTTTTTTTTTAAATGGTTTGTTTTCTTCTGTGTAGAGTCAAAATTACTTTTTCATTATTAATACCTTATTA